GAGAAATGTCTCCCACAGGTTCATGTATTTAAATGTTTGGTCTCCAGTTAGTGCTCCTGTTGGGGAGGCTATGGGACTTCTCTGATGGCAGCCTTCTGAAGGAAGTCCATCACTGGGGATGGCTTTCAGGGTACAGCCTCACCTCACTTCCAGTTTGCTCACTCTGTTTCCTGTGTGTGGCTGAAATGTGATCTCTCAGCTTCCTGTTCCTGCCACCATGCTTACCCACCATGATGACTATCTAGCCTCTTAACTGTCAGTCAAAATAAACTTTCCTCAAGTTGCTTTTGCTTGGAGTGTTGTATCACAGTAACAAAAAGTAACTAATATAGCCTGCTTGTTGGTGTGTGCACCACCTGCGTGCAGGTGCCCTTGAAGGCCAGAAGATGGCTTCGGGACCCCTATAACTGGGGTTTTACATGGTTGTAAGCACTTTTGTGGGTGATAGGAACCAAATGCCCATCCTCTACAAGAGCATCAAGTTCTGTTTGTTTGTTTGTTTGTTTGTTTTGAGACAGGGTTTCTTGGCATAGTTTTGGTGCCTCTGTCTCACTCTGTAGACCAGATTGGCCTCGAACTAACAGAGATCCTCCTGGCTCTGCCTCCCAAGTGCTGGGATTAAAGGTGTGTGCCACCACTGCCCGGCTGCATCAAGTATTCTTTATCACTGAGCCATCACTCTAGCCCCACAGTTTTTTGTTTGTGTGTTTCGTTATGTTTTGTTTTTTATGAGACAGGTTTCTTTGTGTAGCCTTGGCTGTCCTGGAACTCACTCTATAGGCTAGCCTGGCCTCGAACTTACAGAGATCCACCTGCCTCTGCCTCCAAAGTGCTGGAATTAAAGCGGTGTGCCACCACTGCCCGGCTCCCACACTGTTTCTAATCAGCAACACATTTTGTTTTCTTAGATACCTACCATACTAGGAATTGAACCTGGCACCTTGTGCATGCTGAACAAGTGATCCATCTGAACTACGCTCCAGCATTTCCTTAGTGGTTCAGAAAAAGAAAGAGTGTCAAATACTATTGATATCCTAGATAGATGGACTGTGATTCTGTTTGGGGGACTGCTAAGTGAACGATGATCTATGATCAACTAGTATTATTAGTTACTTACTAAGTGTGATCTATATTCTGATTTGTGGATAAATTGCTTTCTACTGTTATGGCTACCATTTAAAATCCTTGAGTGCATGCATCTCTACTTGGGTAGGTTTTCAAAGGTGGAATTACTGTATTGTAAACATTCTTTAGGCATAGTTCTGAGAAATTCAGTCAAACCTGGTTTAGAACCCTTCCTTTAACCTTGGTCATTTTACCTAATCTTTTTCCATCTTTGCTTCCATAAATTGGGGTGCATAATAAAATCTGCAGGCAGTTAGACACAATACAGTACTGGTGACAATCAGTTCAAGGTAAAGGTAAGTAATCTTTATCAGGACAGCCCGGCTGAGCTCCCTCCCAGCTTTGGATGGGAGCATGTGGACCAAATAAAACCACCATGTCAACAGCGACCCCGTGTGGCCCTACCAGACACAGGCATGTGTTAGTCAAAGTGATCAAACTTTTCATCTTGTTGGTTTAAGAGATGGTCCATTAGGTGGCAGAAGCTGTGCCTGAGATCCATAAATAATCTGACATACCCAAACCTCAAGAAATGGAAAACTGGCCTCAAAACTTGCACAAGAAGGTCCAAGCCACTGCTTTGAATGGTAAGGGTGGTAATTGTATTAGGACATGTTTATAAACAAACTCATCAACAAACAGACACACAGATAGGTAGGTAGCTAAATAGACAGACAGACACATAGTAGTCCCTCTTGACTCATAATTTCACTTTCTTCTGTTCCAATGACCCATGGTTGTAGCATGAATCTTAAAAAGGTCTTATTAATAAAAACAAACCTGGAGCCAGGTATTGGGGTGAACACTGAAAGATCAGAGAAACAGAACCAGCCACAGCTAACCTCACCTTGCCAACTTGTTATTTCTTCAAACTGGAAGCCTCTGAGTCCTCATCCAGAATGAATCTCAGCTGAACTGCTGCTAAAAGCTTAAAAGCTTAACCAGGCTCTAGTTAGTTCCTGGTCCTCACACCTTATATACCTTTCTGCTTCCTGCCATCACTTCCTGGGATTAAAGGTGTGTGTCACCATGCCTGGCTGTTTCCAGTGTGGCTTTGAACTCACAGAGATCCAGATGGATCTCTGCCTCTGGAATGCTAGGATTAAAGGTGTGTGTGCCACCATTTTCTGGCCTCTATATCTAGTAGCTGTTCTGTTCTCTGACCCCAGATAAGTTTATTAGGGTGCACAATATATTGGGGAACACAATATTACCACACATGGTCAATCTCAATCTGAAAATATCAAATGGAAAGTTCTAGAAGCAAACAATTTATCAATTTAAAGTCATGTGATATTCTGAAATCTCATACCATTCTGCACCATGCACCACCATCTTCTCTGGATATGAACCAGCTGTCTGTCTGCAGTCTTCAGGCTGTGGACTCCACCCCATCAGTCACTTAGTACTCTCTCAATATTGGATTTTTAAATTTTGAGATTATAATTATACATTTCCCCCTTCCCTTTCCTCCCCCAAACCTTCTCATACACCCCACCTTGGCCTCTTTCAAATTTATGCTCTCTTTTTTCATTAATTGTTATTGTGTGTGTGTGTGTGTGTGTGTGTGTGTGTGTGTGTGTGTGTGTGTGTATTTGAATTTGATATTGAACAACTAATTGGCGTGCTCTTCCCCTGGTAAGACGATTTCTCCTACTCTCAGCATCCCTTAGCTGCCTGTAGTTCTTCGTGTCGGGTTGAGACTTTACGGTCTCACTGCCATGCTTGTGTTCAAGCGATCCCGATCCCTGTTGACTTAAAAATGGTCCCAAAGTGCAGGAATACTGAGTCTGTCGACTTGGATATGCCTCAAAAGCAAACCTGGAAAACTTGATCGCAGTGGAGTGTGTACCGAAAGAGCACAGAGGACACAGTGGATGGAAAGATGCTCTCTTGCAGGTTTCTACTGAGGGCTCTTGGACTGTACCCCTGCCATGGACGGAGAGGTGACTTCTGTACCAACAAGACCCTTCTTGGTGGGAGAGTAGAGACTCGGTGCAACGCCAAATACCTCTTTGTCGTTCTATGTGAAGACCATGCTCCCCCTGCAGGTCTGCATGCGACTGGAAAGCTGATAGGGCAGCTCCGTCTTCCTAAGACGATGACCCAGAGTCCGGTATTTGCAAACACAGCCACGGAAAGTCACTTGGGCAGTTTGCTTTTTACCTGCTATTTCCCCTCAATCTCCCTCGCTGAATTTTAGTGTGTGGTTGGAATTGACATAGCAAAACCCAAGATGTCATTCCAGGAAGGTCTTGTGGCGTGAGCTGCTGCCGGAGTTAGGAGGCCCTGGGCTGTACCGGTGCAATGGGCAGTACCACAGATGGTGCACACTTCGAACATGCAACCAGCAGTACCACAGATGGTGCACACTTCGAACATGCAACCGGCAGTACCACAGACAGTGCACACTTCAAACATGCAACTGGCAGTACCAGAAACGGTGCACACTTCAAACATGCAACCGGCAGTACCACAGACAGTGCACACTTTGAACATGTATCCGGCAGTACCAGAAATGGTGCACACTTCGAACATGTAACCGGCAGTACCAGAGACAGTGCACACTTCGAACACACGAAGGAAGTGGCTTGCCGGCTGAGAAACAGACATAGTTTGTAAATTTTATTTCGTAGCACACCATATCCATCTTAAACAATTTCAGTTTCTCTATTTCACCCAATAAGAGCAAGAAAATTTGATTTTTAAAAATTTTATGCTTTTAAAGTACAGTTTGGGTATCTGTTACCTAAAATGAAAGACCATTACTGGTTTGAATTTTTTAAATTTTTTTCATATTTGGAGAATATGCATATATGAGATATTTGAGGAGGAGACCCAAACCTAACATAAAATTCATTTCCGTTTCATGGACATTTCAGGCAAACAGTCTGAAAGTTAATTTATACAATATTTTCAGTGTCCCTGCGTCTGGACTGTGACTCATTCCATGAGGTCAGATGTGGAACTCCACACTTGTGGTGTCACACTAGAGGTCAGAAAAGTTTCATATACAGAATATTTCATAATTCAGATGTTTGCGTTTGGGTGTTCAGCCTGTGCATGGATATCTAGAGCTAATAGGTTCATGTGGCAGTTAGAATAATGATACGACTTAAATACATAATTATAGGCTTTCATGATTTTAAAATGTAAGTTGAGCACATTATTTATTCATTTGTTCATTTGCTTACTTAGTGTGAGACTGAACCCAGCGTTATCACACATGATAAGCATGTGATCTATCACAGAGTTACACCCCAAGCCTGATGACACGGGTTCCCAGGCCTAGAACTATGTAACGGCTGAAAAGTGCACACGTGTATAATCTCTGTGCTTCTGTGGGAAGATGGAGAGCAAAGGCTGAAGAATTTTCTGACCCTCACGGAGCAGATAGCTTAGTGTGTGTAGTGATGAATGATGAGAAAGCCCATCTCAAACCAGGTGGAAGATGAGGCCAACACCCCA